GCCCCTAGTAGCGATGCCCTTGTTCCTAGTAGCTTCTTGCTCCTAGTAGTAAGGCCAGGAGCCCCTAGTTCCTAGTAGCTTCAGAAGATGATGATTGAGTTGAAGACAATTACAGAGAGCGTCTGGCCTTGGTGATGCATTACAATGCCCAGGCGGCTGGATTACAGACTTCAAGGGCTGGTGTAAATTTCTTAATCGAAGGGCGGTGATGTAAAGACTTGAAAGCGAGAGAGAGAGAGAGAGAGAGAGGGAGAAGAGAGCGTTGATTCAAAGCGAGCCACTTTTACATTTGGACAGTTTTACATCGAGTCATGTGCGCTTCAGCATGGAGAACGACCCGTCTTCCAGCGGCAGGACTCACCGTCCAAGTGTGATTGGCGAGCAGCAGTGCAACGCATGAATGAGGAGGGCCTTGTGCACTTGGACAGTTAGCAAGAAAAGTCAGCGTGCTGAATGGAAAGGAATTGCCAAATGGCACATCCTAATGCTTTGTACTGGGTGCCATTATGCATACCATTACTGTAGAATTTGTTGCAAAAGGACCCGCGAATTTTCTCACAAAGGTAGAGTCAGAGATCATGTTACCCCAGCCGCATTGCAGGGACATGTACACTAGAAACCTTGGGTGCTTGAAAATTTGTCCACAAGCAGACCCATGAGCTTTCACCTGGCGCAGGTTATTCTATAAAACATCGGAACTCGTTCAAATCTAATTCATGGCATTTCTGTTGGATGTTGCGACTTTGACAGCCTGCGCCAGACGGAATCGCCGGTAATTCACCATCATTTAAGCTCCGCGTACGGCGACGTACGCGGGCCAGCAACAGGACCGCGAAATGCCCCAATCGAATAGCACCCTGTGAGTTTTTTTCACGACTTTGGATAATGCTCTTAAGATGAAAAACTGTATTTCTGCGCGTGGTGCCGCGCCAAACTCGCCGGCTTTTGACCGTCAGCCCATGTGTCTGATCGAATTCTCTTAGTGCGTGGGAAGATGCTGGATGCCCTCATGGTATTTTTGGTTGCGGTGCGTTGGCCACCAAAACGCTCGACCGAAGTTGCGGCTCTTTTTGTAAAATACTGTAGGAATACGTAAGAATAAGAATCTCAAGAAGTGCCATGTAAAACCGCATAAGACCACCTTCTGTTGTTGACCCTCAGTGTTCCAAGAAGCGGATGGAAGCCAAACACTCAGCATGCAAGCAGATCCCCCTGTTTGGGGGTTGCGACCGGTGTTTGTTCGGGTCACTCAGTATCAAAGTGGGGCTGGGAAGGCGGGTATTCGTTGGAGGGTATCGTCTCGTGCGCCTCCAATCGCAGCTTTCTGTAGCCATGGACAGATTCGCGCTGATTCCGTGAAGAGAATGCAGGGATGTTCGATGTGGAGAAAGTGCTGCAAAAGGAGTTCAAGGCTGGCCGATGCCATGAAGGAATTGTTCTGCAGGTTTGCGAAGCGCACCGGAAATGAAACAGGTCCGGCAGGCAAAGTGTCTGAATTCTTCCTACAGTCTTACTGTAATTTATATCATTTAGATTCCACGATTCTAGTGTGATTAAATAAGGTGTTTTCCCAAACGTGGGAGATAGGTCACAGTGGTACGTAATGTAGATGTTGTTGTAATGATTATGTTGTTACATACAATAATATCAGTGTTTCTCTACTTATATACTGTACTCTCACATGTGACTCATGTGACCTGTTACAGTGTATCACCACCCCTCAGACGTCACTCTAGGCCTGGCGTCGCTCGCCCCAGCGGGCCACGGCCGCGCTGCGGCGCTGGGCGCCGCAGCTCGGCGCTGCGCGGCTGGTGCAGCTGCTGGGGGCCATGAAGCAGACCTCGCTGGAGACTTCGATGAGACGAGTCGAAGAGGAACGAAACGGAGCTTTTGCCTATTCTTGCCCAAATAGAATCTAATATTAGGAATCATTACTGGTAGGAACATTGATAGAAACAGAGAAAGCCGCAGTGGCTTGGAACCAATGTTCAATTCATTGCTGTCCTTTGTTTTCATTGCTACATATTGCCACCTTGAACCAGAAGGCATCACAGAAACCCCAGCACCAACTGAGTGTTTAACCTTCATTTGACCTCACTCGCCCAGATGTTTGTATCTGTCAGTAACGGAAGTTCCGACCAACCCACTGCGACCAGGGCGATTTTCGGGTGTGTCAGATTTGACTGAAGAGTTGAAGATGACTTGACTGAGGAACTTGGGCCACAAAAAAGGTGTCCGAAAGGGCATTGACCGCCTAGAACCATCCACAGTCAGAGGAATGCGCCAGTTTTGTTTTAGGGGTACGACGTACGATGTTAAACTAGCTGGCTACTACACCCATTTGGAGCTGAAGCGCCTAACTCGTGGGTCGTAGGCCCAGCAATGAAAGGGAGCATAATTATTGCGTGGCTGATTGAGCTAAGAGGCAGAAAGTTGGAGGTTGTTCATGATCCGATGACGACTCTTTATCAAAGGTTTGGTGAAAGAGTGTTGGCATGAAGATGCATGAAGGCATGAACCAAGAGGTACCAACGGGGGTGGATGCAGCTTAATAATTAAGCTGCATCCATCCCTGTTGGTACCTCTCTGTGTTCTTTGCACAAAAAGGCTCTGAACATCGGCGCGTCTGACAGTGCGTAGAGACCTGGTCCGCTCAGGAGACCAATGTCTATCATTTTGGTGCAGCCATCAGTGGGCGACCTCAGACGGAACGCAGTGACCACGGACCTCGCGTTCGGTTCGGTCGCGTTCGGATCCGGATCCGGGCGGTTGACATGTCTCACTTCCGCAAGAGACTGGCCAGATTCACCCAGTAGATTTCACCCCCTTTGTCACAGAAGGTCCGCTTGACAACAGGTTGGCATGGAAGTTCATCAACGGTAGAGAAGGCAGTTCTGAGATTTCCCACGTTCCAAGTTCCAAGCCTGATGCATCATTGTACAAGCTGAGGTGCCTGCGCATCTTGGTTGACTGCGCTTGAGCTCCTGAAGTTCATGAAGCTCCAGCAAGTGCAGCCGAACGTGGTGGTCTATGGCCCTGTGGCCAGAATTGGGGGGCAAACTGGACACTTACAAGGGGGGGCAGTATGCACCCGGTGTTGCATCCTGACTTTCCCTTGTTTTGATGCGGGGACCTTTGGAAAATCATGAATCTGACACTCTGGCTTTTTGTCGTGTAGTTGTGGTTCTTTGTTGTATCATGTTGTATCGGCCTGGGAGCCAAGTTAAGCAGCATAATGTTGAAGTAGTTTCAAGGAAGTTCTGCTTTTGCATCCTTGTTGGCAGAGTGGGGGTTTCTTGTGCTTGACTTGGCGATTGTTGGCCTCTCAAGCTGCAGGAGTCAGTACAATAAGTGGTTTTAGAAGTCAGACGAGTCAGGGTCAGGTAAAATTATAACATTGAAGGCATTTGATGTTTACCCAAGCCAAGGCGGCAAGAGATATATGAGGCAAACAGCGTTTGGTGTGCGGCATTTCTGCATGTTGGCTCTGATCTTTCCATCGTTCCGTTTCGCTTTTGGCTCTGAGGTGGAGCCATTGGTCTGTGTGACTGGCCCATGGCGCTGCACTTGCTGGATCAGATGCACCAGGATCAGGCGTTCTTCACGACCGACCGCTGGTCCCATCCCCCGTCGTTCGTGGAGGCCTCCCAGGCGTCGCTGGCCGATTCGGTGGGTGAATTCAAGGTCTTCGTCCGTCGGACAGCGACAAAAGCCCTTCGGAACAAGAGGGTTGCCCGTTAGGCTCTTCGCGGATCGTCATGATTTGGCAAATCGCGTAGCTGCCCTGCCCTTGGCACCGCTTCGAAAATACCATGGAGGCGGATTTGTTGTACCACCCACGAGTGATAAAACCTGTCCTTCATGCTCTTGAACGTCCGCGGACGCGCTGGCAAATGCCTCTCAACAGACCCCACGATGGTAGTGGCTTGGACCTGGAGACATGCACGGTAGATATGTACCGCATTATGGGGATGTGCCATACAATCCATTACATGCCAACCTCCTGTCACCTCGAATGAAACCAATTACACTCCTTCATGGTTGGTGATCATTTCTCCTCCAGAGTGAACCGCTCCGTCCCAGCCGTGCCTCGCGCTGTGTGTCGTCGTGCAGCTCTTCCTGAAGGTCGCGCCGAACGTCGTGGTCTATAATGCCGCAGCTGAGCCGCAGGGTGTTGGTGGCACCATGCGCAGGTGTTGGGGACTGTGTTCATCGCATCAATGAAAATCTCGTCTCAATCGGGTGGTCATCCGAAACAAGCCAGAGAGCCGAGCCCAATGAGTGGCTCTTTGGGCCGTGTTGATGGGCTGGAGGTGCTGGAGGGTGAGCACTGTCAGCAACCCCACCCAACTACCTGGCTACTTGACGCTAGATTGGCAATTTTTGGCAGGGCCCATAAAGGTTGTGTTTTCAACGTGTCTGGCTTGAGGCGATCAAGGCTGCTGACTGGATGCATGCCTGCGCCTTGCTGGAGCAGATGCATCAGGTGGGCAGGCTCGCTATAGTACGTACTGATCAACCCATATCAAACCATTTATATAACGGTTACATACGGTTACACTTGATTTGATTGTCTTCGACCACCAGTTTAACGCCCAGGTGGAATGATCATCACGCAAATATCTGATTAAGTGGTTGTGAATATGTTGTGCTTCCTTCGTTCCCACACGGGTTTTAAAAGGGAACTCCGCAGCTTTCATCCAGGGAAGATGACCAGAGAGGGCGAGGCACACTCCTACAGAGTGTTTGCGTTTTTTTAAGGCCACAAGTATGTTCGGTTCCTGTGAGGCCTGTCAATTTGACGGCCACAATTTATGGCCGACATCGTTTCGAGTTCGGCGCCTCACGAAGCATGTCAGGGAGTGTGTGGCCGCATGATCATAATCATATTTGGCCCATGGGGCCCATGGGGCATCAGTCTGACGATCAGGAATGACATGGAACGACCTGTTGATTCCGTTTCAGGAGCTTGTGCAGCCTGACGTGGTGACTTACAACTCACTGCTCCGCAGTTGCAATGGCCAGTGGAGCTTGAAGCTCCTGCAGCAGCGACTTGACGGGAGGTGCTGCGAATCGGAAGTTGATGGAAGGCGAGGGGTCTCAATGAACAGCTCTCGCCACCGCTCCAATTCTAGATGACAGCGGAAGACAACTCAGATGAACCGAACAGAAGACAGAAGTTCTTTGGTGCTTGAGGATGCTTTTGTGCGTCATTGACTTTTGACCTTCCATGGATTGAGGGGAGAGTAGCTGTCCTTTCTGAGGATGAAGAGGAAGAAACTGTGGCCAGATCTGGTCTCCTACAACACCGCCATGGATGTCCTTCAGAAATCCAGCAGCTGGAGAGAAGCGCTCGAGATGTGGCGGACCATGCCGCCCTCGCCAGATGTGGTCACCATGAACACGGCCATGCTGGCCTTGGTGAGCCTTGGTCGCTGTTTCCGTTTCTTTTCCAGGAAGGAGGAGGGCCGACCTGGCCCCACAGAACACCGACCTGGCCCCAATGAGAAGATTTAGATGACCACAATGACGTGCTCTGAGACATAGAATTCATTGAGAATTGGTATTGGCGTCGCTCGCCACCATTCGCCCCATCGCCACCAGGAAAGGCAGCCGTTGGCCAGATGCGTTGGTAGTGCTGCGTTCGATGCCAGAGAAGCATTTATCACCTTCGT